TCCTTTCCTGACTAACATTTGATTACCGCTGTTCTCTGACGTCAAGTTAACGGATCTTCAGGTTTGGCACACACCAAGAATATCTGCGTTGGTTTTTTCGCGCCAGTGATGCAGATGTCGACGAGTGTGACCGACGACAGAGTTTTGATGCTGTACCTAACGAAGATCTTAATGCTATCCTTTGACCATTTGCTAGTCGCGTCTTGACCATCAACATGCCGTAAATAATTCAAGTTTTTGGCTAGCTAAGTAAGTTGAACTTCTGACCCTCTCATTCGTCAATATGTAACGTATATTGGCGAAATCTGTAGGCAGTTCATTCAGGATGCCAACTTCCGGGAATTATAGTCTATGTCCTCAACATCCTTCAAACCGATCGAGATTCAGAAAAGCAGCATTTTGTGAGTGCCTGGTCGCGGTAGGTTTCACTTACCAGTGTATGTGATCATTCCCTCACCCTCCAAAGACGGCCTTCAGCGGCATACAGAGTATTACCATTACCATGCATTACTATACAGAGTGAAACCCACAGTGCAAGAAGTGAGACTTCTGACAAAAGAAATATGTTCAGGGTCCAGGAGATGATTTGTACTGATATAGAAAACTGAATTTTTTAAGCATTCCTGTCTGTGACTACATCGACTAGGGAGAAGGCCTGTATATCTCAGCGACAGTGAAGATATTCCTGGCTGAAGGGCATTTCACCCTTAAATGTATAACGGTTGGGTAATTAAACAATGATCATACCGCTTCGTCCTTTAAGTAAGTACACAACCGACGCGTTTAAAAATTATGCAGAAGATTTTCTGACGTCTGAATGATTCCTCTTGTATACAATTACACACTGTAACGATAGGACGTAAGGTTAACCAGCATTATAATCGTAGTGTACCACAGTCATATCTGAAAACAGGGAAAGATAGGCTGAAAAACGTATGGACAGAAATGATCAGGGACGAATTGACAACCATGGGTTCGAGCCATAATCCCAGACAATCAGCCTGACATGTGGATCGACGAGCGATCATAACACCCTGAAATAGGATAGGAAGCAATAGCAGATACTATCCAAAAACTAATCGTGGAACGTCATAGCTCTCTGAGATATCAAATAAGTCGTGTTGGGATTCATACCGAAAATACAGCAAGAACACGGTGAAGGTTAACATAGCACAAGCCAGCGATTTATCAGATGATAATGTAGTGTCCATTTACAACCTGAACCAAATCAAGATTTAAAATTTTTAGAGGTTCAGAGACGATATAAAAAATATCCTCGGCTGACTGCCATTACGGCTACGTCTACAGCTAAACCAACAAACAGCATTAACAAAGCAAGTATGCAGGTAACTTTAAGCGCAGCTGAGCTTCAAGCAACAATAATGCCAAGATGATTATGACAAACAGTTAAACATCGGCCCACCTTTACTTCGAAACCTACAAGTCCACTCCTGACACCGTAAGTTGCAATGGTAGACGCCAACATCAAAGCAAAACCATCATGATGGAACGGCTCGGCCACGTATGGAGCAGAAGCAGATATCTTTAGATTTAAATCTTGGTTATCTAAAAAAGGGACTATTGAAAGAAAACGAAAGACCAAAGTCGTCACCGAAAAAATATGCATATAAGCGTCAGATATCCGTTCTTTTCTATAACAGTCGGTACGACAGTACCGTCATTTGACTAGTTACATCATCATTCACGTGACTGTCTTCGTGCAGACAAGAGATCACTCTCCACGATTTAATGCTCTGACGGTCGTGAAGTAAGCCTCGACATATTTCAACAACACTATCCACAAAAAGATTAGAAGCATGACGTTTTCATCTGATCATATCAGGGCGAATCCCCGCGGCTAGCAAGAGACAGAGTAGAGATCCAAAAAATCTACCTCCAGAAGTTATCAGAGCTGCAATTTTGGATATTCTCCAAGCTCTGTTATGCAAATTTTTGTCGTTTCAAAATCTTCCTTTTGCAATTACACTATACATTATTTTCATCAACGACTGGACTAAGGCGAAAAAAAGAATGATCTGAAGAACGTGGCTGATGTGAATTCTTTTAAATTAAACTTTTAAAATACGTGCACTCTATGCTGATTGTGAGCTATATGGCAAGACAACGCGAATTGACGCATGTATTCGAGGGCAAGACTACGCCAAAGCACGGTCTATCCGCGATATTCACAGATCTACGACCCGATAACTGCTTTTTGACTAGTTGCGCGGAAGCACAGTGGAGTGAATTTTTTGCTCTAGGGAATTTACAGTTAATAAAAGAAAATTTACGCTGTGAAGGGGTTTAAAACCGACACCTATTAAGC